CTTATGTCCCTTGCTCCTTCAGCGTGAAGTCTCCAAAAGAATTTGTTGACTTACTGCGGGGCACACGGGCCACAGGGATAAGAGCCTCGTTGGACGTAGAATCTCTGTTCACCAACGTACCTGTGGACGAGACAATCGGGATGATAGCCGACAGAGTGTATCGTGATCCAGCCTGTACTCCTCTTGACATACCAGAGAATATTCTAAGGAAACTACTCCAAGCTTGTACTAATGAGGCACCCTTCTTGAGCCCGGATGGGCACATGTATAAGCAAGTGGATGGGGTCGCCATGGGTTCTCCCCTAGGTGTCCTGTTTGCAAACTTCTACATGGGTACCATCGAGCAAAAAGTCTTAGTCGACATGAACTTGAAACCGGCCATATACTGCAGGTATGTTGACGACATTTTTACACAGGTACCTGATGTCAGACGTCTGCAGGAGCTGAAGGAGGCGTTTGAGCAGAGTTCTGTGCTGCGTTTCACTTACGAGATGGAAAAGGATGGGAAGCTGCCCTTTCTAGATGTAACAGTCATGGAAAAGAGCGGAGGTTTCCACACTGCAGTCTACACTAAGGAAACGAACATAGGAATGTGCCTAAATGCCAACAGCGACTGCCCAGACAGGTACAAGAGGAGTGTTGTCAACGCATATGTCAACCGTGCTCTCAGCCACAGCTCAGGATGGAAGCAAGTCGATGAAGAACTCTGTAGGGTAAGGCAGGTCCTAGTCAACAACGGCTTCTCCAATGGTTTCGTTGAAGACATCATAAGAAGGAAAGTGAAACGCCATGCAACCTCTGAAGAGACAACTAACACAACACCTATACCCCCTATTAGACTATTTTACAGGAACTTCTTTTCCACAGCTCATAAAACGGAGGAAAGGGTCCTGAAAGATATTGTTAATAAAAACGTTATCACTACAGACAAAAATCAGAGGATACAACTGACGATTTACTATAAAACCAGAAAAACGGCCAGCCTACTCATGAGAAACTCTCCAGACACAAAGCAGAACGCTTTAAAAGAGACCAACGTCGTCTATGCCTTCAAATGCCCACTTGGGGATTGTAAGCTCCAAAAAACCCAGTATATAGGCAAGACAACAACATCTCTTTCTAGGCGTTTAACGATGCATAAGCAACAGGGCTCCATTAAGGAACATATAATCTCTTCCCACAACCAAACCATCGCCAGAGAAATCCTAGTAAACAACACAGAAATCATCGATAGATACAGCGATAGCAGACGGCTTGACGTTTGCGAGGCACTACACATTAAAAAGTCAACACCAGCAATCAACAGCCAATTAATGCACAACTATATTCTACCCATCTCAAGATTCCGCTCCAATATAGAAGCATCAAGAAATATGGACCAATAGGCTTTCTACAATCACTTCTATTCAATACCCATTGTTTCGTGTTCTGTCTTGTGTTGATGAAATTAATACCCTATTAAATACCACTTCCCCCATCCACCTCACTCAAATGTAGATATAAACAAATCGGAGATGTGTAAGTTCTATTCAGTTGTGTATGTGTAACTAAAGTCTTTGAAAATGTAATAAGTTTTACGAAACGCGCTCAAGTGTCGCGTCAGACTAGAAATAAAAATGAATTTTGAAGAATTGATTTTTGAATTACCACCAACAGTGAAAAGAAATGTACGAAAGATTGAGAAAATTCGTGTTAGAATTATTAATAATACTTTTTCGGTCTACTAATATATATATATATATATATATATATATATATATATATATATATATATATATATATATATATATATATATATATATATATATATATATATATATATATATATATATATATATATATATATATATATATATATATGTCGTACCTAGTAGCCAGAACGCACTTTTTTGCCTACTATGCAAGGCTCGATTTGCCTAATAAGCCAAGTTTTAATGAAATAATTGTTTTTCGACTACCTAACCTAACCTACCTTTCTCGGCTACCTAACCTAACCTAACCTATAAAGATAGGTTAGGTTAGGTTAGGTAGGGTTGGTTAGGTTCGGTCATATATCAACGTTAATTTTAACTCCAATAAAAAAAAATTGACCTCATACATAATGAAATGGGTAGCTTTATCATTTCATAAGAAAAAATTAGAGAAAATATATTATTTCAGGAAAACTTGGCTTATTAGGCAAATCGGGCCTTGCATAGTAGGCCGAGAAGTGCGTTCTGGCTACTAGGTACGACATATATATATATATATATATATATATATATATATATATATATATATATATATATATATATATATATATATATATATATATATATTTAAATATGACCGAAAAAGTAAGATTAATAATTCTTACACGAATTTTCTCAATCTTTCGTACATTTCACTGTTGGAGGTAATTAAAAAATCAATTCTCCAAAATTCATTTTTATTTCTAGTCTATTTCTAGACTAGAAATAAAAATGAATTTTGGAGAATTGATTTTTGAATTACCTCCAACAGTGAAAAGAAATGTACGAAAGATTGAGAAAATTCGTGTTAGAATTATTAATCTTACTTTTTCGGCCATATTTAATAATATATGTCTACAGGAAAGACTGCTACCAAAATATACTAATATATATATATATATATATATATATATATATATATATATATATATATATATATATATATATATATATATATATATGTCGTACTAAGTAGCCAGAACGTACTTCTCAGCCTACTATGCAAGGCCCGATTTGCCTAATAAGCCAAGTTTTCATGAATTAATTCTTTTTCGACTACCTAACCTAACCTAACCCAACTTTTTCGGCTACCTAATCTAACCTAACCTATAAAGATAGGTTGGGTTAGGTTAGGTAGGGTTGGTTAGGTTCGGTCATATATCTACGTTAATTTTAACTCCAATAACAAAAATTGACCTCATACATAATGAAATGGGTAGCTTTATCATTTCATAAGAAAAAAAATAGAGAAAATATATTATTTCATGAAAACTTGGCTTATTAGGCAAATCGGGCCTTGCATAGTAGGCTGAGAAGTGCGTTCTGGCTACTATGTACGACATATATATATATATATATATATATATATATATATATATATATATATATATATATATATATATATATGTCGTACCTAGTAGCCAGAACTCACTTCTCAGCCTACTATGCAAGGCCCAATTTGCCTAATAAGCCAAGTTTTCATGAATTAATTGTTTTTCGACTACCTAACCTACCTAACCTAACCTAACCTAACTTTTTCCGCTACCTAACCTAACCTAACCTATAAAGATAGGTTAGGTTAGGTTAGGTAGGGTTGGTTAGGTTCGGTCATATATCTACGTTAATTTATACTGCAATAAAAAAAATTGACCTCAAGCGTAATGAAATGGTTAGATTTATCATTTCATAAGAAAAAAATTAGAGAAAATATATTAATTCAGGAAAACTTAGCTTATTAGGCAAATCGGGCCTTGCATAGTAGGCCGATAAGTGCGTTCTGGCTACTAGGTACGACATATATATATATATATATATATATATATATATATATATATATATATATATGTCGTACCTAGTAGCCAGAACTCACTTCTCAGCCTACTATGCAAGGCCCGATTTGCCTAATAAGCCAAGTTTTCATGAATTAGTTGTTTTTCGACTACCTAACCTACCTAACCTAACCTAACCTAAGTTTTTCGGCTACCTAACCGAACCTAACCTATAAAGATAGGTTAGGTTAGGTTAGGTAGGGTTGGTTAGGTTCGGTCATATATCTACGTTAATTTTAACTCCAATAACAAAAAATTGACCTCATACATAATGAAATGGATAGCTTTATCATTTCAAAAGAAAAAAATAGAGAAAATATATTAATTCAGGAAAACTTGGCTTATTAGGCAAATCTGGCCATGCATAGTAGGCTGAAAAGTGCGTTCTGGCTACTAGGTACGACATATATATATATATATATATATATATATATGTCGTACCTAGTAGCCAGAACTCACTTCTCAGCCTACTATTCAAGGCCCGATTTGCCTAATAAGCCAAGTTTTCCTGAATTAATATATTTACTATAATTTTTTTCTTATGAAATGATAAAGCAACCCTTTTCTCTATGTATGAGGTCAATTTTTTTTATTGGCGTTAAAATTAACGTAGATATATGACCGAACCTAACCAACCCTACCTAACCTAACCTAACCTATATTTATAGGTAAGGTTAGGTTAGGTAGCCAAAAAAGCTAGGTTAGGTTAGGTTAGGTTGGTTAGGTAGACGAAAAAACATTAATTCATGAAAACTTGGCTTATTAGGCAAATCGCGCCTTGAATAGTCGGCTGAGAAGTGCGTTCTGGCTATTAGGTACGACATATATATATATATATATATATATATATATATATATATATATATATATATATATATATATATATATATATATATATATATATATATATATATATATATATATATATATATATATATATATATATATATATATATATATATATATATAAATATATATATTATATATATATATATATATATATATATATATATATATATATATATATATATATATATATATATTATATATATAACTATTAGTGACTAAAACCAGAGTTGCAGGTATATATGAAGTCGAACGATAATAAATTTCATTTGAAAAATGTGTTAGTAGCAGAAATCGATTCAAGAAAGATGCGGGTAATCAAACTCTCAGGGATTTTTCATAACAGATAAGTTACCACACCGGTTGAACAAATCCACAAGGGCCGTGAAGAGGATTCGAACCTGCGTCCGAGAGCATCCCAGACGCTGCCTTAATCCGTTATGGGCACTCTGAGACACGCCCTGTAACTTGCTTCCAATCACTGTTCATGTTGGCGGTATTTCAGTAATAATGCTGGCGAATGAGAAGCCGTTCTATGCCGTGCGCTCTGATATAAATAGCTGTGATGGTTCTTGTGAGTCATTCTACTGGAGGAGCTCGCGCCGCTAACTTCTCCCGAACTACAGTCCGTCTTCTTGAGGTATTATTATTATTGCATTCTCAGTTTCTCCTGGTCTGTTTTAAGGAGTTAAAGCGATGTTCAGGTACAAAGAAGAGGCTTTTCTCGCGAGTCATGTTAACCAAAGTAAGAATGAAACAAAAAGTGCTCTTGTTTATAGGTGGAAGATCTGGAGTCACAACCTCCGGTATCAGTTATAAAATGTTAGTGAAACATTATTTCAGCATTACACAGAACCAGTTATTAAATACTTCCTCAGTACAAATTTCAATATTTTATCTAAAAGAAACGGACAAGAAACTGCTCAACGCAATCATTGAAATTCAGTAGAGAAAATGTTATCAATATAAGAGAGCAACATCAGTGAGAACCGATAATTTGGGTATTCTCGGCCTAGCTACAGCCATCACACTGGAGGCATTTATGTATTCACATATGTTTGTATACTTGGGAAGCAGGCATTTCCTTACTCATATTTCATTAAATAAGAACGCATTGCTGGCGTTGTTGAACCTAATGTATAAGCTTTCTATTATTCTAACTAATCTCTTAACTTTCGGGATTAAAAGGAGCAATCATGTTATCGAAATTCATGGCAAAGAAACTCTAATGACTATTGAAGTGATTATTTCTACAACGTTTCGTTCCACTCTAGAACATCCTCAGGTAAGGAATGCATAAACAATGTTGTTTTAGATTTAGCTCTACAGACCGAAATGTCCATGTAGCACGGTCTATAGTGAGCCCGTAATTGAGTTCGGTTATTTGTGATAACCTTGTTACTGTTATTTTTGGGTCAAAGTATTAAATGGAGGTGGGGTGTCCTCCTTTTTCCCTGTTTCTTTTTCCCGTTTGTTTTAGCGCACTGGTTTTAGTCTTCTTTTAATAAAATTTTCTTGGTGGCGCATGTAGATGAACAATGTTCATTAGTGTGTCCCATTCTTCAACTGCTTTTCTAATCATTGCAGTTGCTGGGGAATTTGCATCTAATGCAGCTGCTGTCTTTGGATTAATGTTGAGTTTGATGCAAGGGGCTTCAGTTGCCTCACATTTCAGTAATTAATGCAATAGTAGCGTCTTTGTATTTGACAGATATGACATTCTTTAACTATTGGGTTTATTTCTTCCCAGCAGCACTTGTAACCAAGTCTGTGTATGGCCATGGCAATTATAATAAATTAGATATATTTTGGCCAGGCTCGAAAGAGTAATTCCCAGTGGCTTGTTTGTACCACATCGCAGTGGATCTTCCTTTCGCTACTTTGGCTCTGTGGCGACTTTTAATAGTTGGGAGTATTTTCCTTTTGATTTGATCGTTAATCCGTGAAAAACTTGGAGATATTTGAACCTGTACAACAGGAAGAGCAGTGACAGGTTTTGCTAGTGAATCTGCCTTTTCATTACCATCTATGACAATGTGACTTGGTATCCAATTTAGGGTGATTGACAACCTTAGATTGTGTGCTTCGTTTTTTATATGAAGAATTTCTGTGATGAGTTGCATATTACCTGTGTTGGATGGATAACAAATGCCTGCAGTGAAGATTTAGAGTCGGTATGAATGACGACATAATGTAAATTATTCTCAATTGTATAATTTATTGCCTCCTTCAGGGCATATAATTCTGTTTCCAATGTTGAGCACCCACTATTCATGTTCCAGTAAGCTTCATGGTTGGTAGTGTAAACTGCTGCCCCAGCAGAACCTCTTTCTTGATCAACTGATCCGTCTGTGAAGATGTGAGTCGTTGTAGATCTTGGGATGGTTTCCATTTGTTGTTCTAAACTACTTTGAGCCTCTGCGAGTCACATGCTGATTTGTTAACTGGTAATCCTTCAATGATTATGTTTACACTCGAGTCTTTCAATGGAGGAGGCTGCCGAAAGTGTTGATATGGTCTATCTTCCCCTTTGTTTTTAATGGTCCATTTTAAGTCCACTTTCTCCAGAATCTTGACCAGATTATCCGTCCATGTATTTGTTCTATATTGAAGGTTTCTGTGAAGCGATCTATGTATCCTATCTTTCATTAACAGTCTGGCGGTGGTTCCAGAACGTTTTGCTGTTATGGTGGCAATTCTTTGTTTGATCCTGTTTTCTAAGGCTGATAAGTTGATTTCCATTCTTAAATTCGTTCGACGCGTCCATATAGGTGCTCCCAACATTGTTCTGAGGGCATCATTTTGAGACACTTCCAGTTTGTCTTAATGATTATCATTGAGGGATGTAAGAGCAGGTGTTGCATAGTCAATGAGAGCCGTAACTGCTTACGTAGTACATTTTGATTACTGGTAGAGATGCACCATCTCTACGACTTGTCAGGGAAAGCAAAGCTGAGTTTCTGGTTTACAACGAGTCCAAAGATATTCAATTACTTGAGTGAATATGCACTGTCAGTCTATTATGACTCCAAGGTATTGAAAAAAGGTAACGCACTCAATTTCGTGTCGTTGTATTGCAAGTCTGATGTCTTGAGTTCTCATTTTGACAGATTGTTCTCATTGTTCTGATTGTTCTCATTTTGACAGATTTGACTGTTCTCATTCTTTCAGATTGACAGGTTGATCTAGTTCGCTAAAGCATCGTCAATTTTCCATCTTGCTGCTTGAAGTCTTTATTGGCGAGTCAGAGTTGCTTGAGGAAATTGAGTGGAAATGGCTCTTGAAGCAAATAGATTTAACAATCTTTCTGCTTCTTGCTCTGGATGAACATGATGGGGCGGAGCAGGAGATATTCCTTTGCCTTGTTGATCTGCCTCCAGATGTCGCCCAAGGAGATATGCTGATTTAGCTTGGCACACCACTCGAGCCATTTTTCTTCTCTGATTTTTGCAGTTTCTTCGTGCACATGATCTCGGACAGCTCTAAGAAGTTTTAGATTAGCTTCGGTTCTTTCTCTTCTGAAAATCGTTCATGCACAATTTAGTCTGTTATGTAGTTCTTTGATCCAGACACAGTAATACCAATGGTCCTTATGTTGTTGGGTAATTGTTTTCCTCTTGGGGATGGCGTGATTTGCTGCTCTATGTATTGCAGTTACTAAATCTTTTTCCATTTCATCGGTGTTGTCAGGAGGAGTGTAGTTTTGGTGCCAAGTTTCGAGAGATTCCTGAAACTTTGTCCAATCTGCTTTGATAAACTCCCAACCAGGCTTGGGAGCTTGATGTCTGAGAAGTAGTGCTATATTAATAACTGCTTTTGTAGCACAGTGGTCACTTGTCAGTACATGGTCAACTGACACAACTCATAAATATCGGTGGAGACATACGTGAGATCCAGCTTTCTCTCACCAATATGGATTGGTTCTGACGAGTTAAGTAGACTGACTTCAGGCACCATATCCAAAAGGTGTTTAATATGTCTTCCATTGTCGTCGGTCCTTTGTGAATCAAGTAGTAATGCACTATGAGCGTTGAAGTCACCCGAGATGATAGTAGGTGTGGTGACTGCTATTTCAAAGATTGCAGAAAGATCCATATCTTGTTCTCTCTGGCTCCTGTATACATTGAAGATGGAGAGCATTGAGTTCCTCATGATGACATTAACTCCCATAATTTCGACGTTCTCATCACAGTTGGGCAGGTCTGCGATTGACGTGGCATTGATATGATTTTTTACTAGTATTGAAGTGCCTCTGGTGCCACCTTGTTCTTTTGGGCAGTGGAAACCTTGATATCCTATGATATTGATATATCTTTCAGTCCTGGTGAGTGCTTCTTGAAGTAAAACAATGTCAATGTTGTCCTTGAGGAGCACTGCTCTGAGTGGTTGTGCTTTCAACTGAATTATTAGATATTCTATTGTATAACTTGAGATTGTCCATTATTCTCTTAGAGTTGAATCCACTGAGTCCATAGTGGTTTCTAATGTGCTAATTTCCCGACGGCTTGTGTCTTCTTGGCTGGATTGAAGACTGCCATTGGGTGCTGAAACAATTCAGTTTCGTCACCTTCATCGACTTCTATTTCGTCAACCTTTTCATGTAGGGCTTGTAGAAGTGTGGAAGAAATAAGTTCAGTAGATTTTTTTTTAACTGTTAACATTTCCTTCCTTTCCTGAGGGTTGGTCTGTTCCAGTGCTTGGAATGCTTTGTCAAGCGTCTTGCTGAAGGTCTCTGTCAGGGAGGCAATAATCATTGGAACAGTAGTCACTTGATATGCCTTTGGCTGTCTTTCATTTTTTTGGTAGGTGATGGGACTCTGGTTTGGGTCATGGTGACTTTGCAAAGCAAAACAGCTTTTGCACCAGCAAAGCTGGTGCATTTGATGAAGTAGGGATCGTCATTCGTGTTTGGGATGTCTTAGGGTAAAAGCAGGTGTATTAATTTTGCAGCTTTGATCTGTTCAGTTGATGTTGCCTTCTGGAGTAGTGCTTTGTCTTCTCCAGTTATTCAAGGTCCTGTTCTTGTTTAGACTGGAAGGAAGTGGTGCTTTAGTCTTTTGCTGATTTTTATTTTTATTTATTCGGTCTTGTCGAGGAGTGTTCAACTGGCTTTTAACTGAGGGTCTGGTAGTTTGTGGTCTTGGAGTTGTGGCTATGAGTTGCTGGGTAGATCCGAAAGCTTCTATTCTTTTTACCCTTTCAGGACATCGTTTGTTCCTGGCGTGATGTGTATCCCCACACCATACATAATGATGTGTGGTGTTTTATATTGTTTTTCTTACACCTTTCCGCCGTTGTGACATTTGGGCATTCTAAAAGATTGTTTGCATGAACTTCAACCGGGAAATATTGTACTATCACCATGGTGATTTTTCCACTGGTTATAGTTCAACAAGGTCTTTCGTATTCCTGAAGTTTGTAATTATATCTGGATAAGATGTGGATATGTTATATCTACCTCTAATGTCAGGATTGGCTCTGAGATCTGATCCTAGGTGATCTTTTCCCAGTGCGGCAATGTAGGCATAAGTGGGACCATCTACTGGTTTTGAAGATGGTTCTGGCTGGCACATAAATTGACTTCTTCGGTTCTTTTTCGTTTATTTGTCTTTCCGTTTCATGTAATTTGCCAAGGTGGCT